ATCAGCGAGCAATCGATTCGCCATTTATTCAACACCGCGAAGACGGGGAGGAAAACATCTGGCGTCCAGGTCGAGGATGTACTCAATCAGCTTCTTCTCTTCTAGTAGCGTCAAATTCCGTGAGTTGGGTGTGCTATTACGTCGTGATAACGTTCCCTCTAATCTGCGGCCTAAGGTAACGCGACTGATGTTATAGATCTTTGCCGCGGCCCGAATACTGAGATTTCGGTCTTTCTGGGTAGCCTGAACCGCTAAGTTTAATTGGGTATCTTTGTTCTGTACTGTCATTGTTTTCGATGGAGAAATGCGTGTTGTGATGATGTAGGTGGCACGATGGCGGTTGGGTGGCCCACTCGCTTGTCTGGCCCACTCGCTTATCATGTACGTTACCCTATAGCTATAATTAAGCCCCTAATGAACCCCCTACTACGACCTACCCCCTCTACCCAGCCTATTACCCTTAAACTAGCTAGCTAGGGTAAAAAAAGATATTATAATAGTCAACTAACTACCCTAGTTGAGTGTTACGACCCAACATGCATGACCAAGAACAAGGTCTGCCCCGCAGGCTCTGCCCCGCAGGCTCTGCCCCGCAGGTTCGCGGTGGCTACAGCGCACCATGTATGCAGAGGACAAGGAACACTAGGCACCCTCTCACGGAACGGAAGAACTATGGACAAGTCACGTGATGATAAGAGATAAGAGATAAGGATAAGGATATGTTGGATATGAGTTATCCAAGCTATCCTTGGATAACCAGGATATGAGCTATCCAACATATCCAAACAAGGACACTGTCCAGCACAAAGGACATGTTCAGAATCAGGACTTGTATATAAGGATGGACTTGAGCCGGACTCTAGGACAGACTTCCCATAGCTTCTTCAGCAATGAACTTCGTATCAGGATTAACATCCGCTTTCAGCTACTACCTTGACAAGACTACGATTGATCACCGAAGCCTTACCTACCCTTACGATTGACAGACATAGCTTCCCTGAAGCTATCCCCGACTACGATTACTGTTACCAGTTCCGCAGCCTCAACTTCTGCAAACTACCCCTACGACTAGCTGGCCGTAACATTGAGCTATGGGATTCTACTACCTTTATAATGGCCTGGTCGATACTTAGGAAGCTGGCAGATCTTAGCGGTTAATTATACTTATATACTTAATGTTACGAGCAGGTCAAGGCAACTAACTGTGGCACAAAGCAAAAGCTTCGATAACGATGACTCCGCATCATTTTCCCTTGTTCTGCATTATATAGCTACGCCATGACAGGACCAACTGTTTAGGCCGTAACACTTAACTCGATAATAATACTAGTACTTAGCGGCTGCTGTTTAGGAAGGAAAAAAAATGCTTTGTAGAGCAGGCCTAGTAACTAGCAGCTGCCTACTAGTAACTAGACCTTCTGAAGGCTTAAGTTGCTAACGCTATCCCATCGAGTGCGGATTAACGTCAAAATCGCCAAGGCCAGAACTACCCACTATTGTACCCACTCTTACTCCGCACTTCAATGAGTACATGACGAAACATCATTTGAACCTTTGTTTTCTTCCTTATTGTCACCACCAAAACCATCATTTTGTTCAATGCCGCGATGTCTTCTAGCAATTCCGATGCCTCCGGGGCTTCCGGGGCTTCCGGGGCTTCCGTACGGAGCTGTATTATGGTTGAGCTCCTTCCTGAAGACCTCGCCGTCGCTTACACTGCCGATTGTACCGTATTTGTACGCCGGAGCGGTGCGATAACAGCACAGTCCGGCCCCACGAACCCCCGGCCGTTGAACGCGGGCGGCCGGGCACCTTCAGACCCTTTGACGTACCCGCCCGGGGTCGAGGGATACGGGACCTACCGGCAGCCCCGCTTGACCTATTTCTCCAGTATGTCTCCCGGGACCTTGTTGAGCAGTGGGCGCAATGGACGAATACGGCGCCGTTATCTAAGGAAGGCCCCCGGGCTAAACGGTCAAGAGTGTATGAGTGGAGAAAGACCTCTGTAGAAGAGATTTACCTCTTCTTAGGAATCCTACTTTATATGAGGATTCATAATGAATCTCAAATATCAAGATACTGGTCAACTCGACAGCAAAAGGAGGATCCCATCCATCTATTCACCCGGTTTATCTCCCGGGACCGCTTCCAAAGTCTACTCCGGCAGCTACGCATCTTTAACACCTCTGATTTCCAGCCTAGCCAGTCAGGTCAACACCAAGCCCAAGCCGGGATGCCGGATATATACCGGAAGGTCAACGATTGGTCAGCCCATATTCAAGAGACTGGAGATTCCTTCTACATAGCCGGCTCTGACCTTACTGTTGATGAGGCTATGGTCCGGTTTACAGGCCGGTCCCTAGAGACGACAACAATACCAACAAAGCCGACCCCAACTGGCTTCAAGGTCTGGATTCTTGCCCAATCAGGCTACTGTCTACGATGGCTCTGGCATGTACACGGCAAGGGCCCGTACGGACTAGTCCCTCAAGCCCGGCCAGCAGATAGTCAGGCTGGAGTAGCTATCACAGTCCCATTGACACCAACGCAGCGTGTTGTAACAACACTTATTACCTTACTTCCAGCTGCAGTCTACCATGTGTTTCTAGATAATCTCTTCGCGTCTGTACGGCTTCTTCGGGCCCTCCGGAAGCAGCAAGTCGGAGCTTCTGGAACCTGCCGGAAAGACAGTGGGATAGATAAGATCCTTGTCACCGAGAAGGAAGCAGAAGGTCAAGGTATCTCTTGGGGGCAGACCCATTGTATCCCTACCTTAAATGGGGAGGTATGATATTATAAATTACTTTCTATAGAAATCTCTGTACTGACTAGTATATCTATTTTTAGGTTAACCAATTCACCTGGAAGGATAATGCTCTTGTCCTCTTTATGACAACTGTCTTCCGAGACGGCCAGGAGGTTACCCCGTCTCCGGCGCCGGCCGGCTGGAAACTCTGCAAGCAAGCGGGCTGCCCGGCAAGTCTTTGGCCCAGACGTCCGCAAGAACCTCCCAGTACCTAAGGCAATTGATGAGTATAATCATAAGATGAATGGGGTTGATATTAGTGACCAGATGAGGTCCTATTATCAATACAGTCACCCTACTCGTCGAGGAGGCTGGCAGGCACTTGCTTGGAACTTCCTGCTAGAAGTAATTATTGTGAATAGCTTCTTTCTACAGTTCTGGGGAAAGCCTGAGTGGCAAAAGGTTAAGACCCAGTACCAATGGCGGCAACTACTTGCATCCCAGCTTATTTAGCAGTTTGGACCATTAGCAGGAGGTCGAAAATATTCACGGTCTCAGCGGGCTTCAGATAAGAAGAATACTTCTATTCCCTGGCAGCAGCATCGTCAGGGGTCTAGGAAGGCTTGTTCGCCATGTTCCTATTGTAGTAATACGGCAGCACTAAGATCTCGCCAGGCTCTTAGTAATACAACTGGGAATAGCCTCAAGCGGCAACGTAGGTTCACTCGGAAAGGCTGCTTAGATTGCGACGTAGCTTTATGTACCAGGGGGGATTGCTGGTACCTCTGGCATACCCAAAATCAATAGGGAATAGAGGTACTGGAAATCCTAGTTATTCATTGGTTGACTCCAGTGGCCTCGCAAGCCCCTATTGGCTCTACCCCGCCCTTGGCGTTTTTGACGTTAATCCACACTCGATGGGATAGTGAGGAAGCGGAAGGTTATTAAAGTGTTACGCCCGCCGCAACTTGTCACTGTGGGCGCGTAGCTATATAATGCAGAACAAGGGACAATGATGCCGGAGTCATCATTATCGAAGCTTTTGCTTTGTGCCACAGTTGGTTGCCTTGTCCAGCTCGTAACACCTAAGCTCTCAGAACTCGCTTAGTAAATTCCCTGATTTATTTATATATAGAAGAGATCCCTAGAATATATTGAATACGAGTCCACTCTGCTAGTCTGTCTTCCTGCCATAGATTTAGTCTCTAAAGCTCGGAAAATACGTTGAGTCTGCTCTAATGCCCTTTAAGTCGACTTCGTAATACTAATCGTAGTACAGCCTAGTTAATCGAGGCCTTATTAATAGAGGTACTGTTCAAGATAGCATCAAGTACTTGCTGTACATCGAATTTGGTATATGAGACCATTATATATCGATAAATAAGTGTACTAAGAAGGAGTTTGTTTGGACGAAAATTGCAATTGTTGTGGTTATTTGAACAATGGGGGTAGGATAATAATGAGGAGGCTGGGAAGCATTTTTGGGGTGGCGAAAGGGGGGAATGGCGAAAAGTGGGTAGGTTGACTTACTAATCAGTGAATGATTTCCCCAGCAGTGACAGCACCACGCCGTTGGTACCGTAGAAAGGAAAGACCACAAATGGGGGCCCTCGGATCCCACGGCATGCAAGATTACTTAAGCATACTGACGATGGCACACCGGCATTTCGAACCCACTCCTGGTCATCGTTCCTTGCAAGTGACGACTCAGATACACCAGCAACACGAGAGCGATTCTAGTCGTTCCGGGATCCTGGAAGCCGACCCTGGCCACCAGCCCTGTGTCACTGAGGAGACGAGAGATTTTGCTAGACGAATGTAGACAGTATGACGGAATGAAAAAATTTCGGATCCAAGTCCGGGTGATGGCCCTGCCAACTCACTCAACTTTGGAAGTGCACAAAACCGTCTGCGTTATGATTTTGGCCATCATCGATAGCATTGTACTCGTCAAACTGCGGATCAAACCAGCTCTGGAGTCCACAGTAAGAAGGAAACATATTTCGCGGCGGAAGGCAGTGAGGGTCGCCGAGATTTCATTGGATTCTAGATGACGAGCAAAATGCAGTGTACGCGTATTGTAGGTGCCGTGCTTAAGATTGCAATTAAAGTGAAAAAACTCATTGTAGGAAATATCCACATGTAGCGCTATGAATGGCAACTTTCCAGAATAAGGTTTGTCGATCGTGGGACAGCTTCTCGAGGAAAACACGAGGACTGACTCGGACCATCACCCGATGTTATTCCAGGGAGGGCGATCACTTATTGCTCTTTGCTGAGTTGAACAAGAGCTACGGAGTATAGTTGACCTATAAATGTTGACTATATCCAAGCTGACTATCCCCTTCTCTTATAGTCTCACAGTAGAACAGTCTTTACGTCATTCATCGAGTATTGGTTTCAATTATTGCTCCGAGGTCTGTTCATAAACTGAGCCAGCGCTGACGGGACACCTCACTAATTCCTCCTCTATAGAACTGAAAGAAATCTACCTACTCTCTAGTCGAAATACTTCCTCCGAACCGCAATCATGAAGTTCACCACGATCGTCGCCGCCATCACCTTGGTCGCCTCGGGCGTCCTTGCTACTCCGTCCGGGGGCAGCAACCTCGTGCGTCGCGACTGCTACGACTGCCACTACAAGTCTTTCAATGCCGGCCGCTGCGATGGAAGCTGCAGCAGCTCGGAGGCCGAAGGAAGCGGACAGGTTTGCCGGAAGTGCATCAGTGGCTGCCCTGCCACGACCGACGCCGATCGCGGAGCCACACCCGTCGTCAGTTGCTAGATATTCCGAGTGGTCTAGCCATCGGGGAGAGGTACTTGAGAAGAGGTCTGGGTGGGAGAAGATCGGAGGACTGCCGATTTTAATACAAGTTCTTTGCCCAAATTTGAATGGTTTCCTTGGAATTACTGTGCTACCATACAGATGAAAGAAATCCGGTAAACATTCTCGATCACAACAATATGGGTACTTAACCTAGGCTGAGGACTCATGTGAAGCCGTAACCTGGGAAGATCGCCTTTTCAGCGAATGATGCCATTCTGAGCTGGTTGAAAACCTGATCGTCGGACAGGAAGTTCCCCGACAAAGCCATCTCAATGGCCCCAGGAAACCAGACACGGCAGTACTCACTTGTGACAGGACTCGTTACCATCAATTTGAATACAAGACCGTTATTCCGCGCTTGAATATCTTTCTGTCGGATTGGAAGTCCAATTCGGCCGCGAGTAGGGGCAGAGCATGGGCCACCTCGAGGGGGTACACTTAGACCTCGACTACCCACCCAACCTCCGGTTGGAATCTCCCTTCTACTCCTTACGCAGAATCAATCAATACAGAGATATTGATACTTCGTCACCCACAGGACTCTACGGTTCGAACCAACATCCCTGTGATAGGGATACCAACACTTTCGCTAGCATCCCCAACTATTGCATGACAGGGCACATTCCTCTGATGTGGACCTCACTTTCGAGAAACTTGATACCATCAATCATGCAGAAAACGACACCTGATCCAAGTCGGTCGATGAGCAGTGATCCGACTTTTGATAAAATTGGACTGCGAGACGGTTTGTTGTGGGTTAGAGGGCGTTTGCGACTGCCAAGGTGGTGGTGTTGAAGGGTTGGCCACAGGAGGTGTAGGCGTCCGTAAACGTATATCAAGCTTTTCAATGACATGCTCTGGGTTCCATGGTGAAATTCCAGCGCCTTGAAAAGCAGCCTTAGTGTTTTCTTCATTAAAAACTTTATTATAGGCCTGGTAGAAGGCAATAAAGAACTCCGACTTGGTAATATGGTTTATGGAGGCTTTGATGAATAGGTTGATTTCATCACCATATGCGCGCTTTAAAGGCGAATAAAGGGCAATATCTAATGGATGTAGTAGATGTGACGAATGTGTAGGCATACTAACGGTTATAATGTTATTCTGCTTGCAGTAATTGTCGAATTCGGCCGATAAATGGCTCTCGTGGCCGTCGATAATAAGCATCCGGTAGACGCCCTTCGTTTAGTTCTTAGTATGTTTATCGAAGTGTTTAATCCAGTCAAGACCCGTCAAATTATCCGTCCATCTATAATTGGTAGGTTTGATAACCCAGTCGCTAAGAAAACCTGATTCCGTGGTCCAACTAGCAAGGTGATATACGCCTTTGACAATCACGAACGGAGGGATACACCACCCGCCCGAATTAATACATTCAACGAATATAGCCCATTCACGGTTGCCAGGCTGGACAGACTTTGCTTTGCCGCGTCGATCAGCGCGTGTTACTACTATTAACGCGGTGATCATGCCCATCATAAAGCCAGTTTCGTTGAAATTATATAGGTCCCCCTCTTGGATGCCATACTTGGCCATCATATTGCGTAACAGCGCAAACCACTTTGATATAACTTCAGGATCTTCTTAAAGAGCCCTTTGATAATCGTATAGACGATTAAACTTGGTTTTCAGAGCAGGTTGCGAGTCCACAAACCGCCTGGCCCATCGCTTGCCAACAGGCTTGCCATTACGCGCTCGTAGCAGGAGATTGGCCATATCTTCCACACCAGCGAGACGCAAGGGAAACCCTCTTTGATCCTGCTCAATAACGTATTGGAGAAGCGCTTTCTCTTCGATCGCATCAAGTTTATGTCGTTGGGGTTGGGCACGTTCGCGTCGGGGTCGATCGTTCATTCTATAGCGTACGGAACTTTCGGGGACACCGTAAGTCTTCGCAGCACGCAACACACTTAGTTTTCGGCCGGCGGCGCGGGCTGATCGGATAGTCTCAATGGCTAGAAGTATCTTGTCTTCTTGTGTGTAAATTGGCATAATGGTTGTGGAGTTATTACGCGTCAAAGGTTGGAGTGGTTTAATGCAAACCGCATTTGGGAAAAAGTTCGTCGCTGACTGATATTCGTCGCTGACTGATGAACTACGTTATCTGTATATGTTGGAATAGGCCTACATTAGGCAGCAGGAGGTTGCTGCCGCGGTCCGTTCCAGCCACGGTGGTCCGTGTGGCTCAGCCACACGAGGGTGGTATACCCCAGACTTCCTGCCGCCGCTGGCACCTGGTTAGACTTCCACTCAACAACAACAAGAACAAGCAATATCACCACTGTAGTCGGTGATCGTTGCTACCCACGATACTCGAGTATTTTCCTTTTCCACCTGTGAATCCAACAGTATAAGGAGGAAGTTGGTAGGCGTAGCCTACGATTCCTCTGTCAGGTGTAAGTAGGTAGATGTTACGCCCGCCGCAACTTGTCACTGTGGGCGCGTAGCTATATATGCAGAACAAGGGACAATGATGACCGGAGTCATCATTATCGAAGCTTTTGCTTTGTGCCACAGTTGGTTGCCTTGTCCAGCTCGTAACAGTAGAAGGGCCGTTTATAACGGCCTAGACCACCTTCTAAATCCACCTTTTTCTACCGTTAACATTCTAATACTAGTAATATCTAAATTGTAGACTGAAAAGGCAGCGGATTTAGGCCTGAATTTATAGCTTCGTACGGGCCGTCGAATTTAGTAGTGAAATCCCCCCTTAATACCATATAATTAACCTTCCCGAATGCCCTTTTTCTATTTTAGTAGCACTTTGTTACGCCCGCCGCAACTTGTCACTGTGGGCGCGTAGCTATATAATGCAGAACAAGGGACAATGATGCCGGAGTCATCATTATCGAAGCTTTTGCTTTGTGCCACAGTTGGTTGCCTTGTCCTGCTCGTAACAGGTAGCTGAAAGCGGATGTTAATCCTGATACGAAGTTAATTGCTGAAGAAGCTATGGGAAGTCTGTCCTAGAGCCCGGCTCGAGTCCATCCTATATATAAGTCCTGATCCTGAACATGTCCTTTGTCCCTTGGGTCGTCTTGTATCATTCTGATCCAGAATGATCGTTTAGCCCCCAATGATGATGATGATGATGATATATTTAACGTCTGGTAACAAAAGGACGTGCCGGGCGCTATGCCGACATGGTCTATACTAATCTAAACTATGTTACAGGCTACCGTCTTCACCTAACGTTCCTATTCAATGACTCGGGCAAATTTCGGAAAAGAAATTAGTCTCCTCTATCCATTGGCATAGAAGAGAGGCTCCCTTAGCAGAACCTAACAAGAAATCAATACTTACTTTGGCCATACGTTGGCGGAGGTAGCGCGGTGTAGCCTTGCGTCCACGCTTGCAGAAGTAGAAATGGACTGGTGTCTTGGGTTTCCCACAGCTGCAGCTGAGCAACGCATCTTGATGAGCGAATCTCTCGTGGTATGCTACAAAGTCTCCATGATGGGATCTTACTACGTATAGCCTTCCTAATAAGTGCCGAGGGAGGCGGAGTTCGGGCGGCTTAGGGTGAAGAATTATCTCGAGGTCGGCATATTGCCGAGGGCATTGGGACAGCCATTTTCTGGCAAAGGCTTGGAAGGCAGCTGCTTTAGCTTGCCTTTCTAGGTGCGCTAATGAGGGCTGCGGTTGTGATTTTAGGATTGGTTTGCAGGCTTCCTTGGCTAGAGCATCCGCTTCTTCATTTCCTGGTACTCCCTTATGCCCAGGGCACCACCAAACATAAACCCTGCCGGGGGTTATCCAGCTCTCTCTTTGTCTCCGAGTCCAGGAGGAAGAGAGCCTATTGAAGGCCCTAAATCTAGCCTGGCTGCTTCCTATGCTCTAGGAGTATAGTCTAGCCGCGACTACGAGGTTATCGAGGCAGATGTAGACGTTATCTGCTATACGAGCCGTAGGAACCCGGGTGGCTTCCATCAGGCCGTGATACGCAGCATATGCCTCCGCATCATACAACTCAGTTTAGGAGCCGAGTGGTTCGGATCCGCGGAAGATCTGCCGTGTAGCTTGGTACCCTACCCAGCCTGCTCCGGCGGAGGTGCTGCTGCCGTCCGACATCTGGGACCCGTCAGTATAGACAACAATGTCCCGCTTAGAGAAAGTTGCCATCCTACCTGCAAAGGAGAGGGCCTGTTCTTCTTTGGTCTTATTAGGTTCGTAGCCGACCCTGGCGAGGGCTGTCTGCCAGTCCGCTAGTTGCTCCCAAGGGGGGAGTTCTAACGGATCGATGTACTCGGTATTTTTGCTTACGAGGCTTGCCATTCGTCGTAGCCGTGAGTCTGGTCCTGATTTGTCCCTGAGTCTCGTTCGGAGAGGGTGTCGCTCGTCCAGACGATGGATTCTGGTGGACGCTGTGTGGAGCTTCGCGTCCAGTATCACCTCTGCTGGGGGTAGAGCCGCCTCGCGCTATAGGATCGGTACAGGCGTAGTTCTGTATACGGGGACCATCGCTCCAATGGCTTTGGTTTGCGTCGCGTCTAGTTAGTGTAGCGGACTACCAACGCCGTTTAAGATAGTACGTCCATTCTTTATCCGGCTCTTGCCGGGCCACTATACTTTAGATATATAATACGGAATAGGTAATATATAAGAGGTGATCGCTTGACGAAGTAAGTACGCAGGCGCGCCCTAGATAGTGTTCCCTAGTCCCCGTAGTCCACTAACTACTTAGAATGCTTTTATAGAGAGGTTTCTTACGTAACTCTTAAATATGAGTTTATGGTCGAAGTGAACGCCGAGCCAGCGTAGAGAAGAGCCTTTTTTGATGGCCTAAACTATATAATACCTCCTATCCGGTAAACCTATTATGATTAATAGGTTTCCGTCTTTTCGTTTCTTAGTAAAGTAGATTAGTTCGGACTTATCGAGGTTAAAAATAATTCCTTCTGTTGCGCCCTATCCTAAGGTTTCTTTCTATTCTTTAGTTAGAATGTTAAAGTTGTTCTCTAATAATGTTAAGCTTACTAAGATAGCGACGTTATCGGCGTAGCCGAAACGAGATCGCTTCCTTCCTAAGCGAGCTATACCTAGCTTAAAAAGAGGTTCGATATAGAGCATGAATAGAATG